TTTTGGCCCCCCCCCCCCCCCCCGCGCGGCAACACTTATGCATCATCAGTGGTTTAGATTTATACTAGGGGTACACCAATAAAGATTTTCTTGGCTGATACTGATAACCAATGATCAACCAACCATATCGGCAGATGCCAGTCTGATAGCTGATATTTAGTAATAGTGCAAGGCATTTTAAACTACTGACGAAATTAACATTTTGTTTTGCATTTATAACACACACACACACGCCCCTCCTGCTTGCTCCGGCCCTTGATGAAGAAGGCAGTGGCCACCTCATTGCCATGCATCTTGCCCACAGCTCCCCATGTAGCCCACATGTGGACAGTGGTGCTGGGCGTGTTTGAAGCCCCAGAGCATGCCACTGCCTCAGCACCAGCAGACCCTGCACAGCTGAGCTCCTGTGGCTGCTGGGGAGAAACCACTTTTGCAAAGGCGCCTAGTGCCTGGCAGAGCAGAACATCTCTCACGCAGTGCCTTACCCCACCTGTGCACAGCCTATTGTCTCTGTGGCAGCTCTTGTGCTCAGGCCCCTGTTGCACACGCAATGTTGCCGTGGCAGTGGCAGCAGCAGCAGGAGCCAGTAACGGTCCCTTTGTTAATGGGGGAGGTGCCTTGTGACTGCTTCCTGGCGCCTCCTCCCGCTGCTTGCCAGGACCTGTAGTCTGCCTCAGGCTCAGGCTGGCAGTGAGATGTGGGGATTGGACTACGCTTGCCAGGGTGCTTCTGGCATGTGGGTATGATTATCGGCTACAGTGACCAAAAAAAGCTGATAGCTGATAAGGTCATTTTTCCTTTTATTAGTGCCAATCTGATAGCCAACCGATATATATTGGTGCAGCCCTAATTTATTTAGTTCTTAAACATATTGTTTCTTTGGGAAATAAGTTATGTTGATTGCCTTAAAGCCACTTCCTTTGGACAGATGAACTGACTGTTTTACTTTTTTTTTTTTTTACAGGAGGATACATCTGGTTGGCTAGTAGCTGGAGAAGGGTACACACCTGAACCAATGGAATTTCATCACCTAAATGAAATAGATGCTAAACTCCAAATAATAGTTTCTAATGGGGATTTCTCCGCAATTCATAGCTCCTGTTCTAAAGTTCCAAGCCAGATTTATCAGGTACAGTACTGTATAGTACTTATAAATTACAGATTTGTTGCATAAAATATGTTTTGGGGTCAAATGAAAATAAATATATTTTTAAATGCATTTTGTACTTTTTCAGCGTTTGTCTGATCTCAATGTACTTGACAATAGTAAAGTAATGAATTTGGTTTAATGAGGTCATTTTTATCACTGGCGTGTCTTGTCTGTTTCTGAATATCATGAGAAAATGTACATCATCTCCTTTTAAGTGGAGTATGTTTCAAGCATGTTCTACTTTTTTAGCGTTCATTACAGAGCTTGGATCTAAAATTTGTGGCTTCATCAGCAAATATTTTGTGCAAAGCTTGAATTTTGTTAAACACATTGGGCATTAGTTCCAAATTAAATATGGTATCATATTATCAATGGCAGTACTATCTTTTGGGCATTCAGGTTAGTAGGGGTGCACAGATAAAGATTTTTTTGGCCAATATCGATGGCTGATTATTAACCAGCCGTATCAGCCAGTACTGATCTGATAACCAATATGCAGCCTGGCAGCCTGGAGAGCAGCATCTGTCTGGTAAGTCTGTGGGGGGGAAGGGACATGGGGCAGATTGAGGCCCCCATGATGAGGGAGGGAGTGGGGCTGGGGCAGGGGCAGGGGCAGGCGCTGCCCAGCTGGGGCAGGGCAAGGTGCAGGACAGAGCTATGGGTGGCTCATCCTGGGGTTGTAGGGGTGGGGAATGAGGCCAGCACCCTGCTGCCCCTGGGGGAGGCATAGGGGGCATGTGCCCCCCATATTTTTGCATGGGGTGAGGGTGGGCTGTCCGCTGCAGGCTCGAGGCCAGGGGCTGTGCCAGCCTCTTCCCAGAAGGGTGGGGGGGGCTGGGCTGGGGCTGTGCTTGGGGCGAGCAGGGGCTGGGCATGTGGTGGCAGTGCTGGGAGGAGGGGCTATGGTGTGGGCTGCAGCCACCCCAACATTTGCTGTAGCCCTCTCCTGTAACCCCTTCTCCCAGTGCTGCCCTCCCTGCCCCTGCCAACCCCAAGTGCAGTCCTGGCCCAGGCCACCCCTGCCAGGAAGAGGCTGGCGCATCCCCTGGTTCCGAGCCTGCAGCGGGCAGCCTGCCCTTGTCCTGCACACAAATCCAGTGAGCATGTGCCCCCCCATCCTCCCCCAGGGATGCACGCGTGGTGGGGAGCTGCTCCCATTCCATACACCCCCAGTGCCCCTCAGACAAGCTGCTCACATTTCTGGCCCAGGCCTCACCCCACCCTGGCTGGGTAGTGCTTGCCCCAGCCCCACTCTCTCCCTCACCGTGAGGTCCTCTATCTGTCCCCCCCACACCCCTTACTCCCACCACTCTTACCAGCCAAATGCTGCTCTCCAGGCTGCTGGGCTGAGTGCCTGGCTGTGTGCATGCTGCATTTATGTGCATGCACGCAGCATTTATCAGTGACATTATCAGTCATAAAAAGCCGGTTGCCAATAATGTTGATTTTTCTTTTTATCAGTTCCAATCCGATATGGACCGAAATACCAGTGCACCTCTACAGATTAGGCTTGCTTTCAATTCTGAGGCTTCAAAAGGTATCCCCTGACCCATTGTATAATTATGTCTGTTAAAGAGTAGTAAAGGATGTTGAAAGGTTAATTATTCTTTAGAGGCTGGTAAAAGCTGTTGGGGTTCACCCCCATGCTAAAACTTTATAGGTGAAGTTCTTTCTCAGTCTTGTCTCTTGGGGATGTAGTTTATCATAAGATAACAGGCAGGTTGTGGCAGCTAATGTAAAAATACTAGTGTGCTTTTTTAAATACTTCATAAAAATGTACAGCATGGTATTAATGCTTATAAATAAAAGTATGATATCCCTGATATGAAATATTCTTACACAAATATGTTTATTCTCTTGTGCTATAGCTCATATGCTGTTTGGACAGATTCACCTAAGGGTATGTCCTTGTCACTTCTGTGTGGCTCTCC